AAGGGAAAAAAGCACTGCAGGGCAAGAGAGCAACAGCAGAGACCTACTGCACTCCCTGACTGATGGCCAAAGCTGGGTATTGGGCGATGTTACCAGCCAAGCACGTGGAAAAGGGGTGTCGATGGTGTCCCTTGTCGGATGCATGTTCCGCTTCTACCGGTCAAATTCGATTTGTATGTGCTAAGTTGAATTCTGATCTGAAAGGGGGGGGGGCGGGGGGGGCAGGGGTGTGAAACCCACCTCTTTTTCTCTACGCGAGACATTCGAGTCGTGGCAATTCCAGCTGAACCAGAATGGCAGTGATTGTTGGCCTTTTTATGCTCCCCCTCCTCTCTCCAAATGCTGTCGTCCTGGACGAGACAAGCGACACCGACTTGGTCCGCCAGCGAAAATTCCATAGATGTGACTCATTCACGTCCAGACGTGGATGAATCATCACACGGACGCGCCCAGAACCATATAGTATGGGCTTCGCTCCACGACTCTCGACGTCCACAAAAAGACAAAAATCATCGTGGTGTATCCTTCCATGTTGTGGCGGAAGATTCTTTTTTTTTTTTTTTTTTTTTTTTTCCCTATAATTCTCCTTACATTATAGCAAAAGATTCAATTTGAGGCCGGGAACCTCACAATTCAACCCGGAGTTATCCCGGCAGCTTCGGCCGGTTTCGCTTACAGCCATCCAGGCTGGATGGCATCACAAGTTGCCCACATTATCTATTCTGCATACAAACCGAAGTTCACATAAACTATTCACCTTCCGATTCCACTAACTATCTGCCTCTGACATATTACTAATTTTTCTCTGACACACGAAATACTAATTAAATCGCAATTCCACAAGACCATCTATCAACTCAAAATTAACGGATCTAAAGCCTATAGACTAAGTATGAGCCCATCCAAAGGACATCATCTATGGATTGCCACAAGCTTAATATTCCTAGTCAATCTAAAAATTCTATCATCAGACACTGGGCCTACCAAAGCGGCCCTTCCTCCCGACTTCTGCCTAAAATGGCAGCATCACAGTATTCAAAGGAGCCTTTCCCCATTTAGTTCCTGTCTGAAGATAACCAATCWGCAAAGGAAAGATTRCCCTCCAAAGAGATAGAGGCTATTCTATCGTTTTGGAGCCAAGTCTRAGAAAACCACAGTCKCCCTTTTCGTGGATGAGCCCGGGCGTTATGYCAGTCTGCTAAGATATTCTGCCTAATCAGGGACTTYATGGCTCCGATCTGTGTCTGAAAGGGGGTAGACTCTTSCTTAAAAATAGCCCTATTTCGGGCTTTCCATAAAATTTCCATGACGGCCCCCCGCGAGACCAAAGCTACATATGGCCAGCCCTTTGAGAAATCAGTCTCTTGACTTACCAGAGCATGTAGAGACCATTCCTGTGACCATGCAAAACTAGTATCTGCGAAAGACCTCCACCTTTCCTTCCACCACTCCCAAACTTGAAGGGAGAGGGGGCAATACAGCCAGATATGAGACGCAGTTTCCCAGCCCCACTGGCAGAGAGCACATTGCACACCAATATCCATGCCCTTGTTCGCTAACCAGACAGCCGAGGGGGTAACTAGCAAAAGATGTAACCACATAATTCCGGCCTGCTTTTGAGAGACCAGATATTTAAGAGCTCTCCACAGACCAAAAAGGTCTGTGTTGTGGCGGAAGATTCTCTCACTGGGACTCTCCTCTTGCACGGTCTAGAGTAGTGGAGCGAGCCCTTATCCCGTCAGAATTTTTTTTATTTTTTATTTTTCTTTTTTCTTTTTTCTTTTCAATTTCTTGCCGTCAGAAGCATTTTTTTTCTTTTTCTTTGGATTGCCGTGGCAGGTAGGTAGTGACTGTGACTGTGAATTGAAAGAATTCGAAAGATGATGCCACGCGTCATACTGGAGTGAAAGAAAAGAAAACAAACAAATTCCATCTTTCTTTTTGTTTGGGCCTCGCCCGTCCGTGTGACCGAGTGCAAAGTTTCAGGGTCCTGACTTCCTCCTTTCTGGTCGAAGAGGCTCATCACACACAGGGAGGCTGTCGAATGTCGAAAACTTTGATGTGCTTTCGATTCGATGTCGTAGCGGAAGATTCGCTCACTCGGACTCTCCTTTTGCACGGTCTAGAGTAGTGGAGCGAGCCCTTATCCCGTCAGCATTTTCTTTTTTCTTTTCAATTTCTTGCCGTCAGAAGCTTTTTCTTTTCTTTTTCTTTGGATTGCCGTGGCAGGTAGGTAGGTAGTGACTGTGAATTGAAAGAATTCGAAAGATGATGCCACGCGTCATACTGGTAAGAAAAAGAAAACAAACAAATTCCATCTTTCTTTTTGTTTGGGCCTCGCCAGTCCGTGTGACCGAGTGCAAAGTTTCAGGGTCCTGACTTCTTCCTTTCTGAACGAAGAGGCTCCTCACACACAGGCTGTCGAATGTCGATTTTTTTTCTTTTCTTTTTTTTCTTTTTTGTAGAAGGGCGATGGCCTTGAGGTATTATCAATCATCGGACTAACCAGCCCAGGTAAATTCAATCTTGTGTCTAATCTGACAACGGTGGCCTTTTCAGCCCAGGGTGGCCTGATAGCCTTAGGGTGCCCTGATAGCCTTCAGGGATCCCCCACTGGGGGGCACCGGCCAGGGGACAGCCGGTAGCAGAGGGACCGAGCATCATCTGAGTGGCCAGTAGCTGTGCCTCCCTGAGTACCCCTCCCCCTATGAACATCAGCAGAGACTTCTTTTTAATGCCAATTGGGGGGACCAACGGGCTATCTCTAGGTGGCGGGCGCCAAGCATGCCCAGGAAGGTACATGAGGCCAATGGGGATTGAACCCAAGACCTCCTGAATGCCACTTGCCTGCCTTACCAACTGAGCTACAGGTGTGTCATCAGAAATTTCTCAACACACAGGCTGTCGAGGGGCAAGGATTTTGGTCATGGCCAGGCGGACGGGTTTCACGGAAGTTGAGGGAACAGTCCCTGACAACGCAAATTCGAACGCAATTTTTTTTTTTTTTTTTTTTTCGAATGCAATTTTCGATAGGGCGGCAGGCCACGGTCGAATTTCCGTCACCTGCTGGAGGGCGGCTGTCGAATTTCCGTCACCTGCTGGAAGAGATTGGTGGAGGGCGGCTGTCGAAAGGACCATTCTGATACCTGTCGAAAGTTTTTTTTGAGCCAAAAAGAAAAAAGAAAAGAAAGTTTTTTGAGCTGCAATTCTTCGGAAGTCTGTGTGGCCATGCAAAATTGTCGAAAACCTGGTTTTCGACAGCCTGTGTGGCGAGCCTCGAAGACCACACGGGGACCAAACAAACGCCTCAAAATTTTGAGACTTTTGGTCCCCGTGTGGTATACCCCGAAGGCCGGAAGTTGTGCGCCATTAACGGCAGTGGCCCGCGGCCGATGTATGCGCCAAGTACTGGTGGGTACGCAGTGTGAGCATATGCAGTCAAACCAGAATTGCCCATGTATGTAGGGCACATGTAGACAGAAGCACAGGGCTAGATTGCTGTACGTTATCACATCAGCGAAAGAAGAAGACGCGTGGAAAGAAGAAAACACGTCGAAAGAAGAAAACACGTCGATCGCATCGCCCTGAGCTTCTGAGGCTCCAAAGAAGAAAACACGCCTATCGCATCGCCCTGAGCTTCTGAGGCTCGTAACGACACGTGCTTGTTCCGCACCGCCGAACTTTTTTTTTTTTTTTTTTTTAACTTGAGGGCCATGGTTCTCGATTTATTCTTTTCATCCTTGCACAGGGGGCCATGGTTCCAATTTTCTCGATTTCAACGCTTGAGGGCATGCTCACACTGCGACACCAAATCCGCAAAATATGCGGATTATGCGGATTTGAGAATCGCCGATTTCAACGGTTATGGGCATGTTTTACGTCACACTGCTGTACCTTGTCAGATGGGACAAGGTCACCGGTCACGCGGCGCCATCCACAAATTGTGCAATAACTTTAACAAACGAGATTTTGCCATTTTTTTTAGAAAATGCGAAAAAAAAAGGCCACAACCGCAGAATTCCTTTTCCTCGCTGACAAAATGGGCACATCAACAGTACACTTGGTACTTTGGCGAATCAATGTGATCGGCCCGCTACCCTTTTTGGGGGGGGATTGGGGATCATACGTCCCGTGTGTGTATGATGAGTATGTCCTGAATGTGAACGTGCCGAAAATCACGATTGATCTGCATTTCTGCACCTCTTCGTAGAACGCACCCTCAATCCATTCCTCTGCGCTATTGGGACCTCGCCCAAAACAGAAATGAAACAAAGGTAATCTTCGGCACACAATTTGTTTTCTTGGTTTGTGAGATCTCCTACAAGAAAACGGAAAAGAGGACGAAAAAACATATTCCAGGGTTTTCTGAAAGAAAAAAAAAACAAAAAGAGAGAAAAAGAAAACACGAGAGCCTCAGGACGGATTAGGCTGAAAGCGGCAGAGTGAAGCGAAGCCTTGTCTCACTCACGACGACTCCATGACTGCCGCGAGCAAGTGTATAAAAGCGAACCGAGCTGCCTCGACTAGACGTCGACTCGACTGTCTAGCTAGCTTACATCGCACACGCACTCGCAATCCGTGTTGGTTGATTGCACGGCGCACGCACACTGGTAGGAAAACTTCGATCGAGCGGAGCAGCGAGTAGTTGTGTTTTGCCGCTGCTTTTGTGTCTTCAGAGGACCGCCTTTCTGTCACACGCACACGTAAGGAAAGCGCGCTCAGGAGGAGGGAGGTGGAAGCTGAAGGAGCGGACAATAGCGCGCTCAGGGGGAGGTGGAAGGTGAAGTAGCGGACGATGGCGCGCTCTGCGTTTCTGTTGGCSTTGCTTCTGGTCGTTGTTGCGGTTCWGGCAAGTGCGCAGGCTCCGCCGGAGGTGACCATCAGCTATGTCAACTACGCAGGCTCGGGCTGCAATTATCAGAACACCAACTACGTGCTGTCCAATGACTACAAGACGGTCACCTTCATGTTCGGCGGGATGGTCGCGACCACGGACGGGTCGCTCGNACCAACTACGTGCTGTCCAATGACTACAAGACGGTCACCTTCATGTTCGGCGGGATGGTCGCGACCACGGACGGGTCGCTCGCGGACAAGAGGAAGTCTTGCCAGATGTCTTTCAATATGATCTACCCGGATGGCTGGAGCGTCTCCATCGGTCAGGCCACGGGCCGCGGCTTCGCTGACATCGCCAAGGACTCCGCCGGCATCTACGAGTCACACTACTACTTCTCGGGACAAACGGGTACGGCSAKGATCGAGCGCAAAATCGGAGGYCCGCAGGTTGGCAGCTTCGAGTTCACGGACGACTTCCTGACGTTTGTCTGGAGCGAGTGCAACAACGCACCCAACCTGAACATCAAGACGGTGGTGAGAGTGGAGGGYGCGAAGGCTGTGATGGCGCTCGACTCCCAGGATACCAAGTTCCAGCTCATCTTCAACCTCCAATGGAGGCAGTGTCCGCAGAACTGAGAACCCTACCCACCCACCATATCGCAGGCGGAGGATAGCGGGTGAGGAGAGTCGGAGATGTGGGAACTGGGCAGCTGTGCCGTCTTGGATATCTTTAGCGGAATCAGAGGTGGAGGCTATGGGGTATGCGCAATGCAGTTTTTCAGCAGATGTAGTCTGGCCGGTCCGTAGCTCGTTTTCGTATTCCGCCTGACGGCGTGTCCACCTGTGTGGGGGCCTATGTGAGGGCCATTCGTCCTCGATAGACCTGTTATCAATAGCTGTTTAATCTACGTGGCAAATGTTCAGATCCGGGGCAGATTACCCCACACTGCTGTCAAGTTCAGTAAGCTCTCTCTAAATCTCTCTCTCTCTCCCTCTCTCTAAATTTGTCTGTCTTTAAATCTCTCTCTCTCTCTCTCTCTCTCTCTCTCTCTCTCTCTCTCTCTCTCTTTTGTAATGTATGCCCTCATGGATTTGTAGATTATCTTTCGACGTCAGTTCAACCCGTGATGTCGGAGGAGTTATGCTTCTTTACGCGTGGGTAGAAAACCAGGGGGGCGGCAGTGCCCCGTTGCCTTCGAATTAGTTCGTTCGTCAGTTTTTTTTTTTTTTTTTGCTTTTGTTTTTGGGGGAAAAAGTGGAGGGATTCTTTATTGCAAATCAGTTCTCTCTTGTAAGGAGGGAGTTGAAATGTCTATGCGGGATTTGCCGCCCTCACGTGAAAGTATTCTACTGTTTATATGAAGCCCTGATTAGCCAATGAGAACCGTCTTCTGTGTGAGCTTCGCCCTTCTGAACTCGATATCATATCATCACCTCTCTCTTCGGAATTGGCTTCCAGGTATTTGTTGTCTCAGAAGATGTGTTAACAATGTTTTCGTTCCCCTCAACGAGCTTGGTCAAATCATCCCTTTCTTCGTGCTTGCCTTTTCACCCTCCCAAGCAAGAAAGAAATCAGGACCATCTGAATTACCTGGGGTTGGTCAGCTTCAATGATGATATCTCAAGGCCGTCGCCCTTATAAAAAGACAATGTGAGGAATGTGCAGTCACAGGGCCCTAACATGCACATGATATGGGCTGTGGCCCCCAGCAAGCATCATGCCCAAACTAAGTGAAGGTGGGCCTGAATATCCATGAGAGGCCCTTATCTGAGCATTTTTTAATGCGGGTGTCAGACAGTTGAAGCACGCCAGTTGGCTGAAGTGCAACATGAGCCTTTTGCTGGGCTCCTTCCAGAGACAGCAGCTCGTCAAGCAGTTGAGCCCAGGCCCGGGTGGTTGCGCCCTGGGCACACGAAGTGTGAGGCCGACACATCACGAAGTGGCCGCCGGCGAATCAGAAAGCAGCATTATCGTCACATTGGCCCAGAGATCCAATGAGAAGCCGACAAGCACTTGGGGCCTGCAGGCTGCCTGGACGTGCCCAACCAGAAAGGGCCAGGCCCCCAACTGTCGGGCAGGGAGTGGACGCAGACACTGGGGCCCGACCATAAGCGACTGGGAGCTTCGCCAGCTAGGCCCACGCAGCCAAACAGAGCCGCGACTTCCATATAGGAAGGTCGCTGGCCAGGCTGAGGGAATTCAGGCCTAGGCAGGCAATGTGGACACGCTGGCCAGGCTAGGCAGGCAATGCGGACACGCTGCTGCGTTGCTGCGCAAGTGTCTGCATGTGCGCTACTGGCTGGGGCGCACGCAGGCGCTATGAGGTGAGACGGGTGTGACGCGCCAGCTTCCGGATCTGCGCTATCTCCCCCCCCCCCCCAACTCTCTTTTTTCCTTTTGTCGAATTTTGGGTGACCATCCGACGAGGCCTCTTTTTGTACTTTCATGGATGCAATATGTGAGACCCTCGGATCAATTTTTTAAAATTTGTCTTTTGCAAATTTGGGAATTACATGGGAATTACGTGCGCCTTAGCGAGCGCGCTAGGAATTTGGGTTAACGGCTAGGAATTTCGGAATAAGTGGAATTTGACGTGTCCTTTCTTGCACATGAATGTTCGCAACTTTGTCTTGAAAAGCTCTGGGAATTTTTTTAGAAATCTGAATAGGCATAGGACTTTCCCCCGTGCGGATATCGTACTTTTCAATTTGAGTTAGTTGTAACTGTTTCGGTGCCCCTTTTGCCTTCGCGACAACGCCATGCATACGAGCCTCCCCTACCCACTTCCCTCGCTGCCCTGGACACTCCCCTCTTCGTGCTCATGCTCCTCTCTCGGTAACCGTTTTCAATCTCCCCTTTGCAGTGCGCGCCTTTTCCCTCCTCCTTGATCGTCTGAATCTTGGTTCCGTTTCGCGCTATTCTTCGTGCTCTTCTTCTTCCCGCTCTGAACCCCACGCCGAAACACCCTATCGACCCCCATTCACCCCCTCTAGCCAAAGAGACGCGCCGTGTAAGAAGGAAATTCCTGATACACGACGATTCTGATTGGCCTTAGCAGGGATCGAACGGATCGACATTGCTTTCGTCGGTCAATCCCTGAGCATCCTCCCACTCCTCACTGTCTTAGTGCTAACCCCTCCTAGCATCAATCTTCTCCTCCGCATCTATAAATTCCGCAAGCGCTCCCGAAAATCTCTCTCTCGACTCGTCAGCCCAGTTCCGGGAAGCTGTGTCTAGATAGTATGAAGAAAGGTGCGAGTCGAAAATTCCCGACGAGCGGGCTGTAGTCTTGGCGCTCGGCATGCTGGATCGCCCGACGGACTGTGGGATCCGAGCAGGGCCGGGATCGTCCGAGTAGGGCCAGGATCCGAGAGGCTAAGTCGGCGGGATGATGATCGCTATGGTGGATTGACACGTGACGGTCGGGTTCCTTTTTGCTCCAAGTTTTTGTATCTTCGAATGTGAGTGTTGATCGCTCGACTTTTAAGCTGGGACATCTTTGGACCAGATCGCCTGACATTTTGTGATTGCTTTCTACTCGTTCCTCCCTCCGGGTCTGCGTCCACACACTCTCCCCTCTGGTCACGACATGTCATAATGGATGAATTATGGTAACCTTGCTTCTCTCACTTCGGTATGTGTATGCGATGAGTCATGATCAGAGATTGTGTTGTAGCATGATTGCAAGGTTGATTGACTGGGCGACTGAATGATCAGGTTGCCTGGAGTGTCAGACGAATGATGCATGGTTAAGATTTGTGCTCACTTTTGCTGCCATGTGAACTGACGGTCCCAACCCAACCGGACGCCAACTTCCCGTGCCCCCGCCGTGCCCCTTTCCATACAACGAGGAAAGGACATGTGTATGTGAGTGGGACATACGAGAAGTCATCGCCAAGATCAGAGGGCGTTACTACTTTCCTCCCGATAACCGGTGCTCTGGATTCGTTGGTGCGGGTTGTGTTATTATCGATACTCATTTTCTGTCATATTCGTTATTATTGCCCTTCAACGGACTGATCGTTGTCCCATGGACGGGAGTGGAGCCTCATCGGCCTAACACTCAATGCAGCGACTGTCGTCGCCCCGAGCGTTATCAGGCTAAGGGGTTCCTCGATCGCCCACGCGGCGAGGACAGACACAAAGAAAAGGCCACTCGGTTGAGACCCCCCAAGTCGGACTTGGAGTTGTGTAACGAGCGCCGATGAGACCTCATCCGCAAACGGGATACCACGTGTGTACCTGCCCCCTTTCACGCGAAACGAAGAAACAACGGCTCGTTGGGAAGTCCAGCGATACTTTTTTGGATTGAATTTCCCATAGCTGTGAGTCCCGCGGGCGCCTTTTTCTCTCTTAAGACCCGCGCGGTGACGGAAATTCTTCTTACTAGAGTCGGACCAACACGGGGGATTTCAGTTTTGTCTGTGTCCCCACACTCAATTTTCTAAAAACCCTTGGCACAACCTATCTTAACTGTCTTTTCCGGACCCCTTTCCGCAAACCAAAACGCTCCAACCGGAAAGCAGCGCAGGGTGTGAGATTGACCGTCACACGCCGCAGGGCAGTGGGTGCATGACAGCCATAGCAGGGGTGCAAGGGCGCATGCGGGTGATGGGCGAAGGTGGTCTTCATGTAGGATGCGAAGGAGTCGGTGGTGAAGGGTTGATTAGGGGAGGAGAGAGAACACACCTGGTGTATGTGGGAGGTTGGCATTGGTGTTGACGTCATGTACATTGGTGTTCAATGTCAGAGTGATCCTGTTGCATGAATATGGATAGGCTAGATAGGCTCAGTAGAGTAGGCTGGGTGTTGGGCGCCAGACAGAGATGAGCGACATTGGATACTGTGTAGGTGGGGCCGGAGTCGCTAAGGGGGGGATGGTGGTAGAGCGTCACAGAAACTTGCAGTAGTTAGCTCCAACCGGTCGAATTCGCCTGAGTCAGGTCGGATTAGGCCTGTGTATTATCAGTGTGTAATATAGGTATAAATCAATGTAGGTAGTAGAAATTGTGTTGATAGCAGCAAGAGTATGGTAGGACTAGTTGAAAACTGCACCCCGATAAGGGGTAAGGCTCCCAGTTAGGCTCTCCGGGAAGAATGTGACGACCCCGAACTCAATTTAAAGATTTGAAATATATGTGAATTGTCGTGTGAAAAAAAAAAAAAAAGAAAAATCTTGCATCATCTTTTTTTTTTTTTTTTT